CTCTTATCTCTTGCCTCTTGTTTCCACGGAAAACTTCTCGATATAATTGACTTAACCAATAAGAAATCAATATATTAATTATTAGTGATTTATAAGTGTATCGAATTGTGGTAAGGTTTATAATGTGATAAAACATTACAAATTATTTTAAACTAATCAACGTGAGTTTCCATCGAGTTACATGAAATGGTTTTTAAATGTTTAAAATTGGTGCAGCTGTTCTTGGGAAATAGCCGACAATTGGTCAAAAATTGGTCAATAATCTCACATATACACACACATACTTTTTCAACTTTGATCTCAAACAATTCAGAATGACTTAAAATGTCGAAAAAACATAGTTGGATCGAGCTGGATAGTACATCTAGTAAGTTAGATTTTCTAGATATAAACTTTCCTTCGGGTTGACAAATAGATGATCAACAGAAAAATAAGTAAATCTGATCCACAGCATCATATAGTCATTTTCATGATTTTTTTATATAGTTACTGTCAACTTTGTCATTATTATTATTATTATTATTATTATTATTATTAACTTTTTCAGAACTTCTAGTTATCGTTATTGTTATATTTCTGCTATAAAAAGACAACCCAATGGTTGACATATTTGTATTTTATATACTTTTATATTGCAATTGATACAATGTGGTAATATATTTTTGATCTGATGTAGCTATGCCAGAAAGGGCTATTTTGACTTCGAAACTAATTTTAGATCAATATTTTTATGATGAAATATGAAAATGGATATCGCTGGTAGTAATTAACTACTGCTTGATATTAGATTGTTCAAAACGCGAAATTGAAGCCATGAAAAAAGGCTAAAATTAGAATAATAATAATGAAATAAAGCAAAATCAAAACTTTTTTAATATGGCCATTCTCTCTTTATATATCAAACCCACTCCTTGGTTTATGAAATTAATCTTTACTGCATTTTCCTATAGAGAAGTAGGTCTTGATATTTTGATCAATTTAAAAACTATTTTAAACATACTATCTGTTTTATTTCTACTTTAAGTTATAAAATATTTTTTTCAAAATTTATATTTAAGTTCACCTCATAACTTTGGGCACGGTTTTATATAAATTTTGGAATTGGGAATGTTTGGAAATATAAGCGTTTTCTTTTTCTATTCTGGTAATTTTCGAAATAAACTTAATTTATTTAAAAAAACTTATTGTTTAAATTTATTCCATAAGCAAACTAACAAATACTTTCAAAATTATTTGGTAAACAAAATGTGTTGAACCTAAAATATCGATGATTACTGAATTATTTCTATATTTATTCACTCGAAGCCATATAAACTCCAAAGAGTCCAATTTTAAAATTTTTATTTCGCGTAAGACGAAAAACTAGTATAAACTGTTCAACATATGAATGCATTTGTTTCGCCAAGAACAAATCTCACTTTCTCGATTTATTTTTGAAATTTTCATACGTCAACCTGAACCATTAAATTATTTCTCTCGTAAATGTGCTGCCCACTAAAAATATATTCTTAAGTTCTTATAGTGTAAATTTAAACGCATAAAACCCAAACTGTTTACATTTGCATCTTAAATCAAAACAGACGTCCGCATTGTATTTTCAATACAAGAACTTTGATTAATAGTTTAACAAGGAAGATCTTAAGAAATTTATCTCAATTGACAGTGCAAACTGCGAGATGCAAATCTTAAGTCATTACATTGTTGGATTAAATATGCCTCATTATTATTCTTTTGAATTAGTTGTAAAAAAATCATAATTATCTGTTGGATAAAAAAAATAGCTGCCGAAACAAATATTCTAAAAAATATGACCGCATTATATGAAAATATTAATACATATTTTAATTTTACCAAATTATTTGAAATTAATATACAGATTTGTGGAAGTATTTCGCTATACTTGTTTGATCAAATATTTTGTTAGAGCCAAAAAATAGTCATAGTCATAGTGTTTTAGTTAAATATGTATTTTTGGTAAATAATTGAATAATAATTGAGATTGTTAGCTACCGTGTATAAATAATTAAATGTAGCTGTTAATATTATTTAGATTATTATTTTTTGAAGAAGATGGTTTGTTTGATAATTGGCGTTCTCAAAATGCCTGATAATGTTTTCAGGCAATTCATTAGTACAAAGGTGGAGTTATTATGATTGTTATAAAACTATAGCACATATATTTTTATTATAGTATTATATATGCATTCACAACAAATTTATAAAATTATAGTTGAATAATTAAATAAGTATTCGTTATACATATGATTTTAAAATTCTGTATTGGTTTTTTGCGACCAGTTCCCAAAGTTTTCTGATTATGTTGTCAAGGGTTTTAGCCAATTTTAATAATACATATATTTAATTTTACCATTTTTTTTTGCTCTTATAAACATACTCGTATATAGATATATTATAAACAGTTCATCTAATTCCTAAAATTGATTGGCATATATCGATTGTATTTTTATTGTTCACGGACATCCTGACGTCAAGCAGTACTGATATCCATTTACACTTGAGAAATATAGTAAAAATGTTCCTAATTGAAACTAACACTTTCTCGATTTGGATGCGTTAAATTAAAAATATATCATCATTTTTAGAGGAGTTATGATAATATAAAAATAGATAGGCCAACCCTCGGATTCTTTATAACAAGCTACGCTGTTAAAAGCAAATTTTACCATTATATGTTTTAATATAAGTTAAGCTTTGTTTAATTCTTAATATTAAGTTGGCAACTAAGTAAGTGCGGTTTTCACTCTTAGACGTTTCAAATAAAATTTTAGGTTTGCTAACGTGGTCCAAATGTAAAATACTATTTGTAATTGGATGTAAGCAATTCCCGCAATATTTATACTTGTTCATCTGTGGACAATTAAGCTGTCAATTTGTTACAAAGAGTTTTTGATCGATTAAGTAGTTTTCGTCTGGGATTCGTTGAAATATGGAAAATTAAATAGAAGTTTTTTGTCATATTTTACATTATAATTTTTGCTAATTTTTGCTTGAAAAAAGTATCTTGAATTTACAAAAGATTATTGGCTATTTATGGTGACCAAGCCTTGGAAACGGCGGCGTCAAAATTGGTTTTGCCTAATTTTGTTCTGGTGATTTTTTATTCAAAGATGAAAAATGCTCTGATTGCACTGTTGAAGTTGATTGAAACTGAACTACTTTGAACTGTTATCGCCAACCGAATGATCAATTCTAATGTCTACCTCAAACAATTAACGAAATTGGCTGAATTGGCCTGAATTGGCAAATTGAAACAGAGTGGCCAATTCAAGCAAATACCACTTGATTTATTCTATTATTGGCATCACATATATATTTGGCTACTGGGCAAATATTATTGGAGTTTGGTTGGGATGTTTTGCCACAACCACCATATATATATATATGTGATGTAGCAAAACATCCCAACCAAACTCCAATAATTTTTGCCCAGTGGCCAAATACATATGTGACACCATCTGGTTACTCTCTGTTTCGATCTTTACAAAACTCTTTGAATGCTAAACAATTTAATGATGGGGGCAAATTGCACCTGACTCAGTTTTTCGCTTATAAAAGCCAGAAGTTTTATGAAAGTGGGATAATAATGCTGCTTGAAAGATGACTTAAGGTCAGTGATCAAAATGGACAATTTATTTTAGAATAGTTCTATGGAAAAATGTCTTTGAAATTTTAATAAATTTCCGCACTTAGTTGCCAACGTGATCCATATTGTTTTTGGCGTGCACTTTATTGATAAAAAAAATCTTAAGAATTAACATGTGGTTAAGCTAAAGGGGTAAAGGCCCGTCTTTACCGATTTAATAGTAAACTAGTGTTGTATGGCTTCGTGCCTCGAGGCAAATTGCTGGAACTTACCGTATCATAATAAAATATTTGAAGAATTTCAAATGTTTTCAAATAGATTATTTTTTGCACATTTTGCTTTATATCTCGAAAACAGTTAGACCTGTCTTTCACAAAAACTAATCACCACTTCTCTCTATCATTACGAACTGAGTGTTTTTTATTCTTATAAATCCAATGGTCTGTTCTCTCCAGAGGTCACTTTCTATTTTCTGCGTTCTTTGCTTCGTATCTCCAAAACGGCTGGACCTGTTTTGCCAAAAACTAATCGGCCATTCCGTTAATCAGTCTCCTGATTAATGGGAATCAAATAAAGTTTGATATTTTTTTATAATTCAAACGCTTATCATATCGTAGGCCTATAATATTTTAGTATGTTATTTAGTAGACTAAGAACTCTCTATACAAAATTTCATCAAAATCGTAAAAAAGAATTGTCAAAAGTTAACAAAATTGAAGCCATTATATATATATATATATATAATAATAAGAACTTGAGCTGATTAATTTTATGTGACTTGTGCAAAGCTATTTTCTGCGCTCTTTGCTTCGTATCTCCAAAACGGCTGGACCTGCCTTTGCCGAAAACTGATCAGCGCGTCTCCTTATTAATGGGAACTAAATGATTCTTGAATATTTCAAAAATGATGAACGGTGTTCCAAAAAACATTGACGAAAAATTGTACCCACACATACATATATACACACATACATCAATTTTTTTAACGTATGCCAAAATGTTAAGAAACTTCCGAAACATAAAGATACATGCAATAATTTTCATTTTCGATTTTTAGACGATTACTATAACTTACCCTACGGAATACAATAAATAATTGTATTTATAAATTCAAAAGCGTAGTAAATCAGACACTGAATAAAATAAAATTTTAATTGTAAAGGTATTTATATCATTATTCTGTTCTAAATATTAGGTAATAGGTTCGTTTCCTGTAAAATATATAGGTATTTTATAAATATTTCATTTTCTTATTGATCGATACGGATCTGCTCTCGATATAAATTTGTCACCTTATATCATATTCTCGATTTAGATCGACGCAATTCATAAAATTAATTTGATATTTCAATTTATGGTGGTCTAAATATAAAATTTTTGACACCTTTACAGCTTTTCGTGAAAACATTTCGTGTTCCGTTTATAAAGTCCCTGAGAAAGAGCAAGAGAGGAGGATGCTGTTATCGCTTTATCTCCTTCCTACTTCCTATGAGCACGAGAGCCATGACGTGCAGGGGCAACGAGCCATCAACCAAACAAATCGACTCAACTCTTCTTCTGCTTATCGTTAGTAAACCGAAATTGCTTCGGACAGCATTTCTAAATGTTAGTTGATAGTTTAGTGCCATAAGTTAATGGGATACATTAAAACGAGGTTAGTTTTTTGTTAGAAATATGTTTTGTTATTTGAAAATGATTTATGATGTTCAGTCATTATTTTTATTTTTGCAATTATAATTAGTTAAGTTTAGTTAATTAGTTGTTTTAAATTTGTTTAAGTGAACATGCTTATATAGAGAATATGTATAATGACTATAAGTTATCTGATATATAAATCGTATCAGGTAAGTTAATTTGTTAGGTTTACACTTTGCATTTTTTTTCATATTTATTACTTATACAAATAGATATGTTGTGGTTTACAACTTTTTCATCCCACGCTCTCCCCACCCCCCATGTGTTTTTAAAAAAGTTTTGCGCTTTTCTTAACTTTTCTAATAATTCAATTTCATAAATACTCAACTTAATTATTAACTTCCAGCAGGGTAGGGTAAGTTATAGTAATCGCAAAAAAAAGAAAATGAAATTGGCTTCTGAACAAAAATGGATGTATATGTGTGTGAGTGCGTGTATGTGCGTGTGTGTGTGTGCGGATACAAATTTTCGTCGACGATTTCGAGAACACGGATCAACCGATTTGAGTAATTCAAAAAACATTCGATTCGTATTGATAAGAAGACGTGCTGATAAGTTTTTGGCAAAGCCAGATCTAGACGTTTCGAAGATACAAGGCAAAAAGTCCCAAAAATGATAGTTAGATTCAAAAAACTTTTTATTACATTGACAAAATGAAGAACTGTTGAAATTTTTGGGAAGACAGGCCTAGCGGTTTTAGAGATCCAGTAAAAAAGTGAAAACCATTGGGCTGACAAAAATTATCATTAGACACATGCACATCAAATTATCATATATTTTATAGATATTTTAATAGTAAGAACATATTTTGTTCTATTTCTATGGGTTCCGTACCAATGTTTATCCGTTATACAGCAACGCGGCTCCCACGCGCTTTGATCGTTTCTAAGCAGCTAACGTATCGCGATTACTTTGAAAACTAGCTGTAAGTGGAATTCTGTCTTAAGGCAATTAAGACATCGTGCCTGAAGGCGAATTGCTGAAACTTCCCGTACCAAAAAATATTATTTTTTTAAAAACGATTAACATTTTTGAAAAAATTTTACTTCAAAATAATTAGATTTTTGAGAAACTATAAATTTGACAAAAAATTACTTTTTTTTGAAAAAAATTTTTTTTTTTTGAATACAAAATTTTTTTGAAAAGAAAAATGTTTTCTTTATTTTGACATATTTTGGAAATTCTGAACTGTTTTTCAAAGCAATCGTACTGCTTGAACTGCATAGAGACGAAATGTCAAAGCGCGCAAGTGCCGCGCCGCTTTCTAACGCATAAGCATTGGTACGGAACCCATAGGAATGTAAAAAAATATATTCTTATTGTTAAAATCTCTATTAAATATCTGATAATTTGATATGCATATATCTAATGATCATTTTTAACCGCCGAATGGCATTTTTTTTACTTTTTTCATTAGATCTCCGAAATCGCTAGACCTGCCTTCATGAAAATTTGGTCAATTCTTTATCTTGTCAATATAAGTGAAATGTTTTTTGAATTATTCAAATCGGACGCTCCGTTTTTTTAAAAACTGAGTTACCGTTTTCGACACTTTTTGCCCCGTATCTTCGGAACGGCTGATGATTTTTTATGGTTCAACCGTCTATCATATCGTAGGTTTACAATATTTTAGTGTGTTATTTAGTAGACTGCTATCTTTATACAAACTCTACCTTTACACAAAGATTTATCAAAGTCGTTCGATGTAATTCAATAAGGACTCTGATTAAATTTATGTCTATCGAGTCTAAAGAAAATTTTCTTTAGGATTACCAGAAAATGGTAATACTGATATTGATTGATTTTGAATATTTAAAAATCGATCGAAAGATATCAGTTGGGAGACGTACTGATTAGTTTCTGGCAATGTCATAGATGTTAAAAAAGAAAATGTTATGTCTTTAACACATTGACGCCGGGGCCGATTTTGGGCTGTGAGGCGGCGCGTGGTTGTTGCCTTCGAAATGCGGGTCACCGGTGGCCCAAGCCGCCCTGCAAAACAGTCTCGTGCTGGTCACCGATGGCTCACGCCGGCGTGAACTGTTAAATAAACTCACAGTGGTGATAGAGATCATGGTCTAACTTAATCTAAACTATTATCATAAAATATTATAGTTGTTGAAAAGTTGTTGGATTTTAAAAAAGGATTTTTTTGACATACTAGATCATGACTGTGTACTACAGTTAGTTCAATTTTAGATATCTCAAAGAAAATGCCACTTACAGCTAGTTATTATTATCTGTAATACTGATTACTCTTCAATTTCCTTCCTGAGAAGAGCTATTTCTACTTGGAAACAATATCTCTACAATAACTTTTCAAAATAAAATATATTACTTTACTAGCAGTATCATATTATTTTAGTAATTTTCGAAAATTAATTTATTATTAAAATTAATATGATTAATAAATTACTATGGATATTTGCTTGTTTTTGTGTAATCCAGTAGTTTCCAACCATTTCGTACCTGAGAATTGGCGCCATCATGGCTTTATGATGCATACATATTTATTCAATTGAAGAAAAAAAATGAAAAAATTAAGAATACATGAAACCAACGAAAGTTTAAAAGAGAGTGTTAATTGAATAAGTACAAACTTTAACAAAAATTATTTTGTGCGTTTTTAGTATGCGTAGCTAATAATCAGACTCAACATAAGTGAATCCTAGAATATACTGTTAATAAATTGAAATAATTTCTTTCATACACGGGCTAATTTCGAAACACGTTTTATGATCACACAGTTAATTTTGTTGAATATTCAATGTAGTAAACCCATTAACTTAAGAAAAAATAGTATTATAATTATATAAATTGTTTATAAATGTCTAATCGTAATCGAATAAATAAATAATTTTTCTTTACTAGGTGAGACTCATTGACTTCTCAGAAAAGACTTAATATATTATAGAAATAACTTAATTGAATGAAATGATGCAACGCATAAGATGGAACAAACAGCGTGCTGGAATAGCTGCTTTAAGTTTATTGCTGCTTTATCTTGGTCTAACAGCAAGAACGATGACTTTTAAATATTCGCGCGTTGTTGATGCCAAACCGAAGTTGGTATGGGATTACGTTGCTGACTTCAGTAACATCAAGAAGATCAATCCAAGCATGTGAGTTTGAAAATGACACTTGTTGATTTGTTTTTGTTTTGACTATTTTTGGTATTTTTTTTATCAAAATGATCCCACAGCTTTTTGCTGCGATACTTTATCTAATTATAGTTGGTGTAATTTTTTATTTGTTATTCAAAATATAAGTATGGAATTTCATAATTTGGTTGTTTTGGAATATTCACAAGTCATGTTTAGCAACAAAATCACTTCGACGGTAATCAAACGTGAAATTCAACTGACAATGAGTATAAAAATTTGAAAAGGATGTATAATAATCACAAACAAAAGAAATCATTCGATTGGCAATTAAGTAAGTGTGGATTTATGTTAGAAAATCAAAGACATTTTTTTCATTGAACTTATTCACTGTATTCTGTATTTCTTTGTGTATTTTGCTCAATGGCTGTTTGTCACCTTCAGAGGAGCATAATATTTCCACTTTCCCAAAAAACTGAAACAGGTACAATTTGACTTCATTGCAATCATTGAATTGTTAACCATTCGAGAAGTTTTGTAGTGGTCCAAATCAAGAGAGTAAAGGTCTTGAATATCTGATAATGAGGGATGTGGCAAAACATTCTAAACAATCTCCAATCATTTTTACCGAGTGGCCAATGATCTCAATAATGGAATAAATCACCACTCAGACTGCTTTTCTTGAACTACTTTGTTTTATTCCGTTACTTGTTCAATGAAGACATTAGAATTGAATGTCCCATTAGGTAAGAGTAAAAATATAATTCATTTGTAATCAACTTCAACTGGACTATTAGTGTGTTTTCCATCTTTGAGTAAATAATTTGAGCAAAACTAATTTTGATACTGCCGTTCTTTTAAGGCTCTGTCACTATAAACATCTTTTGGCGTCCTCCTGACATGTAGCAATAATTGTACAAACAACATGAACACTAGAACCTCCGTCTTTTGTTTTCTGGTTTGTGAAGAGTGAAATACCTCAAGGTTAAGATTTCAGCACATGTTCCTTTCTTCGTGGTCACCAGATGGTTTCTCTATACGAGGTGTGTTCAAAAAGTACCCGGAATTACTAATAATTAAATTTCGCGGGTCTGGAGTGTCTGATTGTCAAAATTTTTTTTTTATTGTGTTGGTATACATGCCCCTAAAGTATGATGAAATTTTCAGCTATATTCACTGTTTACTTTGTCTGTGGTAGTCGCTAAGGTTCGACGTGTTTTTCTGAGCTCGGCGATTTTTACAATGGAAGAATTGAAAAGTCAAAGAATTTGTATTAAATTTTGCGTAAAAAATGAAATAAAGTGTTGCAAAGTGCAAAAATTCACCAGATATGGCTCCGTGTGACTTTTTCCTATTCCCAAAGTTGAAGAGACCCATGAAAGGACGGCGGTTTTCCTCGATTGAAGAAAATCGCTGAGAGTGCTCAAGGACATATAAAAAAGTGAATATCAAGGGTGCTTCGAAAATTGGAAAAAACGCTGGCATAAGTGTATTATATCTGGGGGGGACTACTTTGAAGGGGACCACATTAATGTAGACGAATAAATAAATATTTTTTTGAAAAAACGAAAATTCCGGGTACTTTTTGAACAGACCTCGTATATTATTTTATATTAGTGAGTGAAACACTGCTTAATGCGTATAAGTATTTAATTTAATCTAGAAATACAAAATATATGCTTGAGGTATATTGACTCTTTTTAGAACGGAGGAAAACAAAACGCGGTGAGAAAGCATAGTTCACTTTATGTAGTTTGTACAATTATGGCTAGATGTTAGGAGGATGCCATAATCTTATAACTTTTTGTGAGCTTAAGATGCCTTTTTACCTTTGAAAATAAAAAAACTACAATATGACAATTTTTCATTTGATTTTCTATCTTTTAACCATCTCTAAACAATCGATCAAAAAACTCTTTTATACTGATTGTAAGCGCCCGGCGCAATGTTTATTAAAAAAGTCAATTAAAAATCACTACGCACAGGCACTTAATTACCTCGAAGGACCAGATATAATTTATCATTAGAATGGCTATATCAGACCTTTAAAAATATGTAAGTTAAATAAGTTGGTTAGTTAATAATAGTATTTATTTGTATGATGTTTACGGTTCAAGTTATGCGTACAGAATGGATAATTTCTTATAACTATCTTAGTACCTAGAGTAGGGTACGAAATTATTTTATTACAGATTAGAGGGAGTTCAGTATATAGGTAGAGGGAGATGGATAAATAAAATTTGTGAGGCTCGAACACTGATTGATAACTGAATTGCCTACTATCCAATAACAAAAGGTATTTTACATTTGGACTTACATCAGCACAATTAAAAATTCGATTTAAACAATGGAAGACTGAAAGTCCCACTTACTTCGTTGCCAAATCGATATTTCTAATACACAATTCTAAATTATCTAAGTTTAGGCCTATGTTTCATATAATTTTTTATCATTATTATTGATTCAAAGGCTATAAATTTCATTTGATTTAAAATTCCAATTTGCAAACCATAAATTGATTGATTTACCTTAAAATGTAATTTAATATAATGGACACATTTAAAGTTATAATAATTCTTTATACCTTTATCAAGTTTCATGGAGATTTTCATAAAAACTGTAATACTATTAGAAATTACATTAGGTCTTTCAAAATTTTGAAAAAATAATAATTTAATAATTGTGCGAACAGTATCTGTTAGTTTTGTAAATTTTCAATATAAATAATAATATGTATGCAGAAATATGTAGAATTCAATAATCAGGTAGTATTTTAAATTTTATGACAATAGTTTTCTAAAGTGTATATTATTTTCAGTTTAGCTAATATTGATAAACTTATTTATGTTTTAAATGTTTAATACAATACAATTAAATGTTACATGAACAAGTTACATGTAACAATGGCATTTATATTCCCATGTTTATCAGTTTCCATTTATTCATATTATTGTATGTTTCAGTTTAGATTTTTCTATCATTGATGAAAGTGGTACATATGATAAATGGAGCTATTCAGTCACATATACTGAAAGATTGTCTCAGTGGCCTTATCTTTACAATGTGGGGCATGGGCATTTTTCAGTGAGGCCTATCAATGAAAAAGTACACAGTTATATTATAGAATCAAAGCACAATACTTGCTTCTTTAGTGGATTTTTATGTTGTAAGTGTAACATAAAAAATTTAAAAGATTAGAATATTGAAATATTATGCTAATAATATTTAATCTGAATATATTTAAAATTCATTAATAGATAAAACAGTGAGTGATATGACATTCAAACCCACAGTCGATGGAAAGACTACTTGTGAAGAAACTGTACAATATCAGTGCCCGGGTTTATTTGCATTATTTTGTAAATCTGAGGTAAGCTATCAAAGGACTGCGATTATGAATAATTTAAGAAATCATTTTACATGGAAACATTAATTGTAATTTGTTTTTTAAATAAAAATATATTTTTTCAATTAAAGTTTTATTATCTGTTCATGAACCTTAGATGTATCAACAGAATGTTTTTTCATTTAAAACCTGTCACTAATTAAAATTTGGTTCAAAGTTCAGGTTCATGTTTGTTGTTGGTGTTAATATATTTTCACACTTTATACAGTCAATTTTGATAAACAATTAACTCTTTATTTCAAATACTTATGAATTTTATAAAACGTATTTGAAGTATCACCTTCATCATTAATCTAGGTTCACTCTTTTTTCTTTGCTTTCTTATTCTGTTTGTTTTCAATCAGATAAGAATTTTTTTTTCACCGGCTGCTGCTGAACTTTTGCAGAAAGACTCGGTTTCTCCTAGACTGTGCACCTTTCCCTCCTTTCTTTTTTCTTTGCACAGCCAATGTTTATTCTCATTTTTTAAATGAGCCACATCTACTCCGCGGTATTGCCCTCTGATTCCAATCGTTGTTTCAACTTCTGAAGTTTCCGGTAGCGCTTCTGTTATTATCGTTTTATAATTTTATAAAAATATTCATTTTATAAAATTTAATTTTTAATAAACTTCATCCTGGGGAATTGTAACTCAATTTGACAGGTGCAGTGATTACATGTCTTTTACCATTCAAGCTCTTATAATTTCTTGGGAGTAATCAAAGAGGTATGTGCCACTCTTTGAAATATGAAATCTGTGCTCCTTTAGCTTTTCGTGGAGGTCAGTAAGTGTTCGGCAACTGCAAACATTATCTGATAGATCCTTGAAGCTCCAAACATAGCCAAATCGATAATCAAAAGATTCATTATATATTTACTCTGATTGCTAGCAAATTTAATCTTAAATTTTATTCATAATCTGGGAATGAATATGTTACTCTTTTGTCGTTAGATTTTTGGGCATTTATAAGTTTTTCAGCTCATTTAACTGGCGCCTAGGGAAGCCATACAACAAACAGCTAGATCAAGTTCCATTTGGAGAAAGAAAATTTGATTTTCAAACTTATCCATTGCAAGCGTAACACATACAGGTTGGTGTATCCGGTCCATTCTCATCACTATAATTCAAATCTTAAACTTTGTTTTCGAGCACCTAGAATAACCGACATTTCAAAATCATGAAAATATTGTGGTATATTATTAATTTTTATTATCATTTATATCAATATAACTAATTGACTGATATATTATTAATAATAGTGCAAGGAAATTTACTATTTCCAATTATTTTTGTCATATTAAAATAATAATTGAAAATGGAACACAAACCATGCTTAATAATACACATTTTTACAAGAAAACTTGTGCGATTTTTTGTTTTTGCTTTTCGTAGGGTAGTATTATAGTAATTGCAAAAAAATCGATTATTAATATTTTTGCAAATCTTTACGTTTCAAAGATTTCTGAATATTTTTGGCTTAGAGAAAATGGATATATGTGATGTGTGTGAGTGTGTTCGGATACAAATTTTCGTCGACAATTTTGAGAGTACGGATCAACCGATTTAAATAATTCAAGAAACATCCTATTCGTTCTTATGGGGAGACGTGTCGATTAGTTTTTGGCAAAGCCAGGTCCAGCCGTTTCGAAGATGGGGACGAAAAGTTCTGAAAATAGTAATTAAATTTTTGACATAACTACGAGTCCGATTTGAATGAATCAAAGAACATTTTATTTGTATCGACAATTTTTTTTCTTACTATTACAATATTTGTTACAACTGCTAAATAATATAACATCTAGTAAGATTAATGAACAACAACATAAATATAAATAAAATAGAGTTCAAAATAAAGGATAACATTTTCATTAAAATGATATTCGTATTATGATCGTTTAATATAAAATTAAAGCAAATAATAATAATGAAATTAGTAAATAAAATTTGTGAATAATAAAAATAATACTAGAAAAACAATAAAGTGCAATAAAAACAATAAGCGACAGATAATAATATAATCTTAGAAATAATAAGATAATATAATAATAATAGTAATATTAGTTTTTAGAAATGGCTCTTTATGAGATTGATAAAATGAACTACTAATTAAATTTGTGGGAAGGCAGGTCTAGCGGTTTTGGAGAGACATTAAAAAAGTAAAAAAATGCCATTTAGCGACTAAAAATGATCATTAGACATATGCACATGAAATTGTCGGATAATTTTTGTAATAATAAGTACAAATTTTGTTTATATTTCGTGTCTAAAACAGCTACGCAGCGCAATTACTTTGAAAGAAAGTTCAAATTCAAATAAAATTTTTGTTCAACTGTTTTGTCTCTCAATGTTGGTACGTTGATATTCTAATATTTTATTTTGTATGTTGGTATACAGCTCAATGTGTCAACTGTCATCTAGCACCTTCATGAAGTGCGTCGACCCCTACGATTTTTCTTTTCGAATGAATGCGGATCTATTTCAGCTTGGCGCCCATAGATGGAAGGCTAGTAGGCCAGGCGGCCATGTTAGTTTGTCGTCATACAAGCAAATAGGTTGTCATTGATGAGTTTTATATTTTTTTACACGAATTTTTATGTGATTGACTAATATAGAGTGAAATTAAAATATATTAAAACAAATATTTTATATCGTTGTCTATCTAAAATTGATTTGTTTTGTGTTTTGACTGGTTAGTGTTCAAGGGTCTAATTCGGAGAGACTTTTTTCATTTATGTGCCTTTATATTAGGTATGTCAAATTTCTAATTTCATAAAACGATAACTAAATATCATATTGTGCAACATTATTTTGAACATTTTGATAGAAATAATTTTGTGTATTAAATGATAAAATTAGTTCTAAAAAAGTTGTTTACTTTGTGACGAACAAATGCCTGCTATTGCGTATATCCTATAAACTTAATTATACTAATGTTTACAATATAGCATGAATTTAATGCGTGAAAAGCTTATGTGAATTCAATCTCTGCCTAAAAAAATGTTATCTAAACTATTGATAACGGTAAACGCTATTTTTACGATTTGGTTTTATATTTTTTAGATCTGTTTACTTTAATTTGATTCTTCATAAAGATACATTTTATACAAATATGTATAAAATTACAAATTGTAACAAGATTAGTTTCTCATTCTCAAATATTTGATTACCATTATGACGTATTGTTTAAATAAATAGAGCAAATTAAAAGTCTATGCTTTTATTTGACATGCATAATGTTTGAACAGTTAGAAGAGAGTTGTAAATAATTAAATTATTTTTGTCTACATATACATGTCATGATTTCTTAAATAAATAACGCTGCTTATTTATAGTATGTGTATATGCGCACAAAGTTCTTTAAAGTTGACAGATAAAAAATGCTTTCAAAATTTTGACGTTTGTCAGACTTTTAATTTGACATTTATAATCACAACTTCTACAAAATTTTTAAATCAATCCATTCAGCAAAATAATACGCAAATAAATAAATATAGAATAATTTTCTTAACAATATTTTTCATTCATTTTATAATAATTTCTTTATAATCAGCTGTTTACTATAAAATTATGCAACTGCGAGTGATACAGAAGAATAATATTTACAAAAGTGTGTAAATGTATTATTTTCAATTGACTAATCAAAATGTGCACAAGTCACGTACGTTCAGGTATGTTGGTGCATTCTTTATGAGTAGGTTCCTGTGTTATTTTTAACATTGGTTAAGTGTGTTAAGGACAAATGAAATAAATCTTTACATTATTGCGGTATCAGAAATGTGGCATTGTCATGCAGCTACAAATTTCCAGATAATAGAAACATGATTCCATAATTTATTTATATTTTGAATAAAAACCCTCAGGCGCTGATTATAATTTCTGCTAATTTAATTACTAGCATTTATATCATCGAGTTTGCTTGTAAACAATTATCTATGGCATCGTGCAAATTGCTCAAACTTCCCGTACCGTACTTAAAAATCTTGGTACGGAACCCCAAAAAAGTTACACAAAATGTGTACACATTATTAAAATCTCTATAAAATATCTGATAATTTGATGTACATATGTCCAATAAACATTTTTGACCGCCAAATGACATTTTTTTAACTTATTTTTATTGAGAGTCCATAACCGCTGGACCTGCCTTCCCAAAAATGTAATCAGTTCTTCGTCTTGTCAATACAAGTAAAATGTTTTTTGATATTTTAAAATCGGACGCTCCGTTCGCTTCAAAATTGATTTACCGTTTTTGGCACTTTTTTCGCGTATCTTCGGAACTACTAGACCTGTCTTCGCCAAAAACTAATCAGCACGAATCCTTATCAATACGAATCTAATGTTTTTTTAAATTATTCAAATCGTTTGTTCGGTATTCATGAAATCGTTGACGAAAATTTGTATCCGCGCACACACACACACATACATACATGTACACACACACGTGCACACACACATATACACACATACATCAATTTTTTCTAAGGTATGCCAAAAGGTTCAGTAACCTTTGACACGTAAATATATATAAAAATTTTCATTTTAGATTTTTTTGCGATTACTATACGAGAAGTTAATAAAAACCCTCAGGCACTGTTTATAATTTTTTCTACTAATTTAATCGCAAGCCTTTATATCATTCGAGTTTGCTTGTAAACAATTATCTATGACATCATGCCTTAAGGCAAATTGCTGGAACTTCCTTAACAGTAATAAAATATTCGAGGAATATTAAATGTTTTCCAACAGATTATCATAAATACACTTTCCATTATTCGTATTTTATAGACAAAATATAAGAGCTTATAAATTAGCCGACGAGGTTTTTATTTGTCTAAAACTAAATAAACAAAACTTAATCAAGCGGAAGTAGAATTAAAGGGTCTTACTCATATTTCTAAGAATTATATAAATTTATTTCAAGTATCTAAATGGGATTTAGAATTTTAGATAGAATAATTTAATATTTAAGAAAATTAAAATCCGAATTATTTTAGCAATTTTAAATTAAAAAATTGGAAATTAAAAAAAAACTAATCGTTTCTTCACAATCAAAATGAATCGGATGCTTTGTTATCTCAAAAACTGCCATTTTTTGTACTTTTAGCTTTGTATCTAGTAAAAGGCTGCACCATCATCCAGTCTTTCTTTCATTACGAATGGAATGCTTTTTGAATCATTCAAATCAGTTAAGCTCCCTAAAACGTCGACGAAAAATTGTATCCATACAATTGCATGCACAAATTTAAAGGGAAATGAAATATTAATGTTACAAATATATTATATTTGAAAGTAATAACACTATATGTATTATTCTCTACTAATGTAAGACCAAACCTTTTTTTAACATTATTATTCTAATTTCTATAAAAATAATTAAACATTATTTTTCGAACTTAAAGTTTCGGTAACATTACATTTTATTCCTGGGATTTGTCTTGTTACTTACCTAGTAATACACAGTCGCGAACTAAATTGTTTCAATTTTTATCTAAGTGGTTTTATTAAATATTTGGCGGAATTTCTAGGATTCAAATGAATCATTTTTTTTAAATATTTAACTTGTTTATCAAAATGTCGCGAGTACGTTAAATTATCGAAAATAAATTTATTATTATTATTATGGTATCATTACGTTTTAAAAGGTAGCACATTATATATTGGTTTGAAAAGTATCATGGTTGAATGAAATATTCATATATTTTTAAAACACTTTATTGCTATTTTGGATTCTTTGTTCGAAGTACAACGTATTACATGCACACACACTCATATTTATTTTTATATATACATAATTACTATTTTGTTGTTCAGAATAAGCATAAGAACATTCTTGAAATTCTTATAGTATTCATATTAGATACTTATAAGACTCGTACCAGATTCATTGCAAAGAAACATTCAATTATTGGCATACTTAACTTTCAAACTTTATTGGATATTTAAAAAGTAACAACTGAAGTTATAATTGAAATTTATAGATCTATAAATATTAATATATATTTATATATATATATATATATATATATATATATATATATATATATATATATATATATATATTAAATGTTAAATATGAACAATCCAACACTCAGATTTTTAACACACACTTTATTTAATTACAGACGTTTTGAGACTATGATATGCCTCATCTTCAGTGTAATTTCAAAACAGTAAAAATTATATACTAATACGTTATTTAATATTTTATTTAAATTACATTTAATTTTTAAAAAAGAAATAGCCCCAACTATCTCTTACAAAGCTTGACACAGTACTGAACATGTGAATATATACAAAAATATTTGAAAAAAATCTTAAGATATATATTTATTACATTTTTATATTTCGAACAAGTAATTCAATTTGGATGTTCAATACAAACAAATCTAAAACTCGTCAATCCAATTCACGCATCTAAAATTAGTCTTAAGGAGCAATGCCACACACCACTAGTTATTATTGATTTGGTAATATCATTGCGCTGCAACCTAATTCATTTATTTTGTACCTGTACTCAATTTCTATTTTTATGAACTATCGGCAGTTAAAAAAGATATATTTAATTAATTTGATGTCGAATTTTTCACTTATCTTTAAATTGTAGGACCTTTGCTCGCGATGCTCTCATATACTTGTCCATACGTTCTTGTGTTGTATGAAATAAACCTGCAAATTTTGAAACAAATCTAAGGGTTCCTAACACATTGTTAGTAGGGTTTATACAAAAACGGACATTTCAGAAAACCGGTTTTTGAATTTTAATTTCACTAAAAAACCGGTTCTAGCCGGTTTTCGAATTTTATATAGAAAATAAATTTTTGCTCGAATATTCTGTAATTTATCCGCAAATTTAGTGTAATTTAAAGCAGTTTTTGACTGAATTTATTTATTGTTCAATTTTATAGCTAGTAAACAAAATTATTTCAATTTTAATTAGTAGAACTAAAAAGTAATAGTTTATCTATTATTCATTATTCGTTATTCATGCATCATTTTCACATATGAGAATGAAAATATTTTTATGATAGTGAAAGGAAAGTTCTCGAATAAATAAATATAATACATTTTTAAATAAAAAAAATTAATTAAAATAAAAAATATATAAAAATATATTAGATACATGTTGATACATACTTGTTAATATCAATTTTAGTTTTAAAAACAATTAAGCTAAACTCGGGTATTGTCTGTCCCGAGATATTTTGATTAATCAATTTTAAACATTCTGATTGTTTTTTTGTTTAATAAAATATGATTTCAAAAAACTGAAAACGTCTATCGAATTGCTACTTATAGACGTGTCCTTTGTTTACTCACAAAATTTCCTGAAATAGAAAATACTCTCATACTTGCTACCAAATTATACTTAATTGTTTTTAAAGCCTGATATATTAATTCTAAGTTTTTTGTTCTTTATTTTGGGGTTTCTAGGGCTTAAAACTTTTTTTAAAGTTTGAGTAGAGGACATTACTTCTTCAAGAAGAAGTCACACTGATTTAAATTAATATATACACTGGTATAAAAATCTAAATTAATATATAAAAAATCTTTCTGGGAACCATTGCAGACTGATAAAATATCAAATGCTATTGAACCGATATGATTTCAAGAATCAAAACGCTTTCATCTATCTTTTATATTTGGCTATATTTGTCATGTTCCATTTATACAGTAAAAACCGACTTTTTTCATTAAAAAACCGGTTTTCGAATTCCATAATTTTCGCCAAAAAACCCTAATTGTTTGTTATTAACCTGTTGACTAGGTATCTCATAGGTTTCATATATTCCGTTCTTAATTATTCATTATATTTGTAGAAAAACTCATTAGATAGTTTAGTAAACTTTAGTGCTCACTCTTTGAAAATTTATCCTTATGTTCATTGTAGCAATGTCGTTTTTGATTTTGAGATAAAAAGTTTGCCTGCGAATCGATTTTATGCAACTAGCGCATGTTGTTTGTTTGTTTGTTGATTTTCAAGGAGTTAAAATTATTATTTTCAAATATTTGATTAATATAACGACGCGTTATTAACATGGAGTACTTCTATCACCTGTGCATAATATTTGAAGAGCTAGTTTTCTCATATCCTAGAAAATTTATTGTTTACAACATATTAGCTTATCTTTATTATCTATGATATAGTGATGTCTGTTCTTTTATAGTTCAAGTTTCTCTCATTTAATAAGTCGTTTAATTACTACATAAAAAGGGCAAATATGGCTTCTCTTACTATATAAAACTAATTTTGTGCGTGGATTTTGTTAATAAATTATTTTCATTTTATTTCAACTAATTATTTCTATTATTAACTATACATTGTCCTTGCGCATCAGCACATTTCTGATTTGGTTTTCTTTTAACGTATAATTTTTTGTGCATTAAAAAGTTAAATCAGATAAACATGTTTACATAGTTGAGCTTCAAGAATTATTAACGAGTTTTTTCAATGTGCATTTTTTATTTAATGGAATTTGCACTTGTTACATTCTTAATTTTCCATGATCTAAAAATAGAATAATTCATAATTGTCAATAATTACAAATAATTATAAATTATTAATTATTACCTATAATAAATATTTCCTAGACACCTTCATTGCTTCGAAAATGAATTAGATTTACAATTCGATTGAATAGAATAGAATAGAACTCTTATTTTTCGAAAATATTCAAATTTTTTATTTTCATTTTTTATTATAACAAGTTGCATTTATTTACTTAACTAAGTCGATTTTTAGAAGGCAACTCAACGGTTAACTTAATCATCATTTCTATATGCAGAATTTATTATTATAATTTATGTAATACTAATACTAATGAATAATTTATTTATGCAGCAATGTCATATGGTCGGGTTATTATTATCTAAAATATATTGCTGTTATCTATTTTATTTTTGCAGCAATGTCATTGTAGTATTATTTTTACCTAAAATATATTGATATCTATATTTTCAAGTGAAAACTGATGTCACTGCTGCTTGACATTAGGCTGTCCGAGACGGGTATTGAATATTTAACTTCTGATTGAAATCCCATTTCTCTATACACTGAACCACGGTGAAGCCCTGGTTTGCATTGAAAACATATATACCGATTATAAAAATGATCAAATAACATTACCAAAAAATCAGCACTCAAGTTTGAAACTAATATATGAGTTTGATAATTCTGATAAAATATTTCAGCTTTTTGAGAATGTATCTTTAAATTTATAGAACGTTGAAGCATAAATAAATATTTTGGAGATTTCTCATATTGCATTTACAGTACTTTTACATCTGTTATTAAAATAGTACCGTTGTTTTATATTAGAGTATTTAAAACATTATTGATGATTAAGAATGCTCTGAAGTCCAAGTCACATTTTTATGTGATGATTCCGATTATTATTTATTCGTATTTTATTTTGTTATGGAAATGATTATATTTATATTTACTACAAGAAAAAAATACGATGAATGAGTTAATTGTTGTGGATTTGCATGCTGCATAATAAATAAATTGCTGTTACATCGATTTTCGAAGATAATTGAGAAAATCTTTAAGTATGTATCAAAGTTCTATTATGACCAAAGATGAAATTCTTGGTGAGCAACATTTTTATGTTGGTTTTAGAAATTGATAAATGAAAAATACTTGTTAAATTTTATATCTTCAATATTGTTGCTTATCATTAACTATATCTTATACTTGCATTTTAACTTAATTATCAGACTTTTTTAATTCCTGCGTTTTCAAATTAACTTGCAATTAAATCTGAATCGACTAAGTCCGATTTTTTTCGAATGGGTTATCATTAATTGAAATGTCGGGTAGGTTATAATAATCGCAAAAAAATCAAATGTGAAATTTTTTATATATCTCTATATTTCAATGATTTCTAAAGTGTGTGAGTGCTTGCGGATACAAATTTTCGTTGACAATTTCAAGAACGCGGATTAACCGATTTGAATGATTAAAAAAAAACATTCGATTTCTATTGATGGGAAGACGTACGGATTAGTTTTTGGCAAAGGCAGGTCTAATCGTTTCGAAAATATGGGGCAAAAAGTGCCAAAAATGGAAATTCAGTTTTTTTGAGAACGAAGCGTCCAATGTGAATAACTTAAAAAACATTTTATTTGTATTGATGAAATGAAGAACTGATTATTTTTTTGGAAAGGCAGGTCCAGCGGTTTCGGAGATATAATAAAAAAGTAAAAGAGTCATTTAAATTGGTGGTCAAAAATGATCATTAATTGCACATGAGCACATGAAATTATCAGATATTTTATAAAGATTCTAATAATTAGTACAAATTCTGTTCGAGTTGTAAATACGTTCAAACATTTTCAAAAAACTACAAAATAAATAAAAAAAAATTTAGAATTATTCAAGAAAGTATTTTTTTTTAATATTTCAGAATTCACAGAAATCTAATATATTTTTCAGTTTCCAAAAAATTTTAAAGCTTTTCTAAAATTTTTAATTTTCAGTACAAGAAGTTTCAGCAATTTGCTTAGGCACCATGCACTAGTTTTAAATTGTATGTTTTCTGTATATTAAATGATACACTCAATCTATTTAACAAACAGATTATTATAAAAAACAGCGCAAACCTCGACATAATCTAATATTTTAAGTTCGTAGAGTTTCACATTAAATATGATATAATAATTAACTTAATTATTAACGCAATTATTTAAATAATAAATATTTATTTATTAAAATTTGAGGTACTATTCCTCCACGCTCGTGCAATATTGATATCATTCAATTACAATAATGATTCTTAAATATGATACTAAGAATTCGCTCAGTGTGTGCGATAATATTACACGATTAGTTGTTTCTAATAACAATGCGTCGATACAAGTACTTATTGATTCCAATTGTTAACCTTTCTAATATTAATACCTTTAGTTTAGTGAATGTTCGTTAATTAATAATATTGTATTTATTGTATTTTTGCTAATTTGACAGAAGCTGGCTGTGTCTTATCGCCGTAGTAACTGACTAACAAACCATTAATCTTCCGCCCAATCATTTCCGAAATATCACGGGACATATTTTCGGAAAAATAATTTAGGAAAACTGTAAAACAAAATTAATCAAGGTAAGTAATTTTCTTGTTATTGTAATTGATTCATAGAATTTATTTCATGTAGTTGTGATATATCACGTATGTTTTTTTAATTTTTTTTTATTTATTTCTTATAACCAATCTGAACCTTGGGTTCAATGAGGTTATTTGCTGACGGGTACAGGGATTTTAGAAATTCCCCCAGTGAGGAATTTCCTTACATAAATATATTGATTAGTTAATTTATTAAATCTTGCGGCCACTTTCTTTTTAATCTTCATGCATATCACGTATGTGTATGTTAAATTTATATCATTCAATTAATTACAATTATTATATTATGAAGAAGTGCAAATTAATAGAAGTTCTTTGTGAATGATAACTTATGTTTTTGAAATTAAAATGATAAATATAATAAAAATGTTATTATTATAACTAAGAATTAATAGAATTAATAATAGAATTATTATATTAAAAGAATTATAGATATTAATATAAAAAAAAGAATATGATAATTATTAATTTTGTTCAGGAATTCTTTGAAATTTAGGAAAAGATTTCTTTTTTTTAATTACAATATCTGTTACAACTGCTAAATAATATAACGTCTTGTAACATTAATGAACAATGACATAAATATGAATAAAATAGAGTACAAAATAAAGGAAAGTATTTTCAATAAAATGATATCCGTATTATAATGATTTAATATAAAATGAAAGCACATAATAATAATAATAAAGGAAAAGAATATGGACTATGGTATTTATTTGTTTACAAACGCACTGATTTTCTTATTATGTTTCTTTTTTTCATTTTTTCTTATTTACTGATTTTTAACTTTTTTAGCGTTAGTAAGACGCTCCGTCCATTAATCACGTGACTGAGTTTTTTAGGATTTTTGGACCCCTCCCCTCCCCTTTGGTGATCCATGGTGATATTCAATATTACTCCCCCCCCCACCAAACATCACGTGTATGTTAAATGTTTGTTAAATTTGTTTTTCTCGGCACTGTTTCCAAAATTTTGAAAACGATTCTATTAAAACGGAATGATGAGTTATAGGTTTCTTTGTAATTACCAGATATATTTTCAAATTTAAAATAATTCGTCATCATTTTTGCCAAAAATCTTGAACTGATATCGAAAATAACAAAAATTTCGAAAGATATCATTTGGGAATCATGCAGATTAGTTTTTGGTAATGATAAGTCGTGCAGTTTCTTCGTATATAATTTTTAAAATATTATTTTCATTGACGCTTTTAATGAAATTTTTGCATAATTTTGAAGTTCATGGTGATATTAATCATAAAATATTAAAGTTTGAATATTTCAATTTTATTCATATTATTTCAAGTAGAAATAATATATAAAAGTGGTTCTTTTGTCCTATATTCTTATTAAACATTTATATATTAGATAAATTTAATTAATACAATTACAGATGTAAGTAAGTTTGAGAGATATCAATTATAAATAGCATTAATTTGCTTTTGGTGAGAAGTGAAAACGTTATTTTATTACTTTTTGATTATTTTATTTATACATATATGTGATATATCGGAAAACTCATGTAACTTGTCTCAAGGCAAAACGTCACTTACATCTAGTTAGCAAATATTTCTAAATAGTTGATTTATTTTTTATCTCCATAATAAATTAGAAAATGTATTGAGTTTTGCCTGAACCTGTAGATTACCTTGTAAAGATAGTTTTTTTTTCTTATAAATTACAATCTGTCTAAATTCAAATTGCAATGTCTATTGAAAAACATTGAGTAATAATTTGACTTGTAAAGATATGATTAGTTTTTGGTAAGAATCAACCAGGTCTTTTCTTTATGATGATTTGTCAAGAAATATTTTTTTGCGATTTTAATGAATTTTTGCATAGGTAAAGCTTTATCATAAAAAAATAATAATGCAATACTTATGTTTAATTTTATTATTACTCAATAAAGTAAATAATACAATTACAGATATAATCATTTTGATTGAAAGATATCAATCGGAAATTGCATTAATAAGTTTTTTTAGTAAAACAGGAAACTTTATTTTGAAAATAAGAAAAACAGTAGAGAAATATCCCAATTTTGAATGGTGCTAAAACCTTGTTCTTGATGTTATTGATCATTTACACATTTCTGAAAATTCATGCCTCAAAATTCAGTCTCAAGTCCAAACGCAATTTACACCTAGTTACAAAATATTTCTAAAAAATTAATTTTTTTCAATTTCATAATAAATTAGAAAAAGTATCAAGTTTTGCCTCAACATATACATTACTGTTATATACTTGTAATGATCTGTTGTGTCAGTCTAATAAATTGGTTTTATCGCGCCACATTCAACTGATAAATTATTATCAGATCGACATATTGTCAGAGTATCATAATATCGTATTGTTTTTAGTACAAAAACTCAAAAATTGCTTATTGTTAGTATAGTGAAATTTTATTCAGTATTGTGTATGTATAATTTTCTTATATTACAAATATATATTTTGCTTTATGAAGAATTGCAAATGTTAAATAAACGCTCTAACATTAATAATAAAAATATAAGCATTTTAGTAAAAAAGTGAAAAATCGCTTATCGTTAGTAAAGTGAATTTTTATTCAGTATTGTGTATGTAATTTTCTTTTATTACAAATACATATTTTGCTGTATGAAGAACGCCAAATGTTGAATGAACGTTCTAGCATTAATATTAAAAATATAAACATTTCTGCTATTATTATAAATATTATTGTTTAAAAGTTTTGAAAGAGTATCGTAATATCGCAAAAAATTGAAAAATCGCTTATTGTAAGTATAGTGAATTTTCATTCAGTATTGCGTGTGTAGGTATAATTTTCTTATATTACAAATATATATTTTGCTTTATGAAGAATGCCAATTGTTGAATAAACGTTTTAGCATTAATAATGAAAATATAAACATTTTTGTTATTATTATAAATAATATTGTTTAATATTGCATATTGCAATATCGCATTGTTTTTTAGCAAAAAATTGAAAAATTGCTTATTGTTAGTACAATGAATTTTGATCCAATATGTTATCTGTATAATTTTCTTAATTACAAATACATATTTTGCTTTATGGAGAATGCCATATGTTGAATAAACGTTCTAGCATTAATAATGAAAATATAAGCATTTTTGTAATTTTTATAAATATTATTGTTTAATATCTCTAAAATTGCTTATTGTTACTATAGTGAATTCTTATTCAGTACTGTGTATGTATAATTTTCTTATATTACAAATGCATATTTTGCTTTATGAAGAATGCCAAATATTGAATAAACTTTCTAGCATTAATAACAAAAATATAAACATTTGCTATTGTTTTTAAAAATATTTTTGTTTAAAAGTTTTTGTTCGCGTGCTATTTGAAGATTCATATTTGAATAAAAACAAATATGAAGCATCACTACGTTTTGTTTGAGGTTTATATTTTGGGAAAAACAAATATGCATTATTTCGGCGTTATGTGTATGTAAGCGTAAAATAATTATTCATCTATTATGAGTATTAAGACTCATTGTTAATGTATTTACTAATTGATCTTTAATTAATTATATCCAGTAAAATTCTGATCATCAAGAATGGTGGCTCTTACCAAAATTTACTTTTATATTATTTTGTTTTGATAATAGTAATTAGCTTTTAAAATAGCTTTTATCCATTTCCTGCGCAAATATCATTAGAATTTTAATTAGAAATGTAAGTAATTTGAACATTCTATTTAAAATCTTCTAGTACATATTTTGTTTCTATTTGAGATATTTTTATAATTTATTTTATTGTCAGTTGTTTGTTATATCTTACAATTAGTAATAAAAACAAATCATAAAATTATACAATTATTATTATTATATTATTAACTTCCCGTAGGGCAAGTTATAGTAATCGCAAAAAAATCGAAAATGAAAATTTTTATATATCTTTACGTTTCAGAGGTTTCTGAACATTTTGGCATACCTTAGAAAAAATGGATGTATGTGTGTGTGTGTGTGTGTGTGTGTGTGTGTGTGTATGTGTGTGTGTATGTGTGTGTGTATGTGTGTGTGTATGTATGTATGTGTGTGTATGTATGTGCGGATACAAATTTTCGTCGACGATTTCGGGAACACGGATCAACCGATTTGAATAATTCAAAAAACATTCGATCCGTATTGATAAGGAGACGTGCTGATTAGTTTTTGGCAAAGGCAGGTCAAGCCGTTCCGAAGATACGGGGTAAAAAGTTCCGAAAACGGTAACTCAGTTTTTAAGAGAACGGAGCGTCCGATTTTAATAATTCAAAAAAATTTTATTTGTATTGACAAGATGAAGAATCGATACAACTTTCATGAAGGTAGGTCCAGCGGTTTCGGAGATATAGAGGAAAAAGTAAAAAATGAGCCATTTGGCGGTCAAAAATGATCATTAGACATATGCACATCAAATTATCAGACATTTTATAGAGATTTTAACAATAAGTATACATTTTGTTAACATTCCTATCGGTTCCGTACCAATGCTTATGCGTTAGACAGCGACGCGGCGCTTACGCGCTTTATATTTTGTTCCTAGGTAGTTAAAGCAGTACGATTGCTTTGAAAAAAAAGTTCAGATCTTCCACAATATGTCAAAATAAAAAAAAAAAATTTTTTTCAAAAAAAAAAAAAAAAATTAAAAAAAAATTTTTTTAAAAATATTTTTTTTTTCAAAAAAAACTAATTTTTTGTCCAATTTATAGTTTCTCAAAAATCTTATTTTTTAAAACTAATTTTTTTTCAAAAATGTTAATCGTTTTAAAAAATAATAATAATTTTTGGTACGGGAAGTTCCAGCAATTTGCCTTAAGGCACGATGCCCTAATTGCCTTAAGACAGAATTCCACTTACAGCTAGTTATATTATTATTATTTTCTTTAGATGAGAAGACAGCGCGACGAAATGCAAGTAAACGTCGCAGGCCTGCGCAGAAATATAAAGAATCTTGCGCATAACTATTCAGATGCTCAGGTATGCTTATCATTTTATATTATTTTCTAATTATTTTTTTTATAAATGTGAAAACTGATAACTAACATTAAATTATACATTGCATGCACTAATTATGTTTAAATTATGAATTGTTTACAAGCAACTCTTAATGAGTGTACTATTTGTGTTTAATATATGACCATCTTCTGCTTTGATCTAGATCTGTTGTGAACTCTAAAATACATATTCACTGACCTGTTTATTTATTACTTATAAGATAATAATTACTTTGATTTCTGAATTCGCAACCGAAATACTAGGTTATTGATAGTTATGGATATGACTCAAACTTTTACTATTTTTATAATAGACTAGCAAACCCGACGAACTCCGTTTCGCCACCAGATGGTTTCGTGAGAAAGATGAAGAAATTTTTTGTTTGTTTTATATTTGAAATGAAAAATTTGATCAGGAAGGAAAACCCGACTTATTTTTATATATATAGAAGAAGAAGATAATCTATTTGAAATTATTTAAAATAATTGTTGATTATTTTTATTACTCGAATTTTTATTTACGGTGCGTGAAGTTCCAGCAATTTGCATTAGGGCACGATGCCATGCACCATTAATTTTCTTAGCTATAAACCTTGCGGAGCCCGAGACCTTTCCAACGAATGCAAAATTGTCGAAATCGGTTCGTGCGTTCTGGAGTTATTTCGTCAGGAAGGAAAACCCGACTTATTTTTATATATATAGAAGATTACATGTTTATTTTGTAATATTCATCAGTATATATTTATTTTATTTGGAGCCAGCCGTGTCTTGACCGGCAGGGTCGTGGCCTATCTTAAGTAATTCCGGTTTTGATCCCCACCTTTGTCAAGCTCGATATCAAGCAGTATGATATGAAATGTTTACTTGAGGTTTTAGATCTCAAATATAATCTTATATGAAAATCACCTTTCGCTGACATTACTGCATCACATACAACTTAATACTATTAGATAAACATTTCTAATACCTATAAGTATATTACTGTACTTATACATGGTAATATAAAATATGAGTAGTCAACCACTGAGTTGCCCTCTTGAAGATTAGAAGACGATAGATTAGGAATGTAGCTAGTAAACAACAGCTCAGAGAATACATATTTTTAATCGCTATTAAATATTTATTTAGGTCTACTAATTTTCAAAGACCATATATCAAAAATATCAACGATTTTTAGGAAATCTTTGTTATATCAATCGTTCTGATATATAATCCTATCTCATTATCAGTGGGCATATATTTTGAGGACATAAGGAATACAGAATAAATGTGTAATACAATAGTTATATTTTTCTATTTATTTATTATTATTATAGTTATTATTACTATTTGTTTAGATTATGTTCTCACTGTAGTATTTTTTATGTTATTTTGAAAATTATCATGATGCCACCCATTTTTTATCTAATATACAAATTCGCATGCTTAACTTTCTATTTTTAATCTAAATTTTTTGTTTTAATATTTATTTTCTTAATATTTTCGAACTATTTTTTTTAGATCAAAGTTCGAGAGGCAACCTCAAATGACCCATGGGGACCCAGTTCGACTATTATGTCAGAAATCGCCGACTTGACCTACAACGTCGTAGCATATACGGAAATAATGCAAATGGTTTGGAAAAGACTTAACGATCATGGAAAAAACTGGAGGCATGTTTATAAAGCACTAGTTCTACTAGAATATTTGATCAAAACTGGCAGTGAAAAAGTGGCACAACAATGTAAAGAAAATATCTTTGCCGTTCAGACTTTGAAAGATTTTCAGTATATGGAAGAAGGTAAAGATAAAGGGGTAAATGTTAGAGAAAAGGCAAAGCAATTAGTTACTTTGTTGCGTGATGAGGAGCGTTTGAGAAATGAACGTGCAAGAGCATTGAAAGCCAAGGAACGGTTCGCTCAGTCGGCAAGCGCCTTCGGAAGTGACGGCGGTGATCGATCACCTGACAATGTGAGTTCTTATATATACATTTCTATATATAAATAGTTGTTTTTAATGTTCGTTTGAAAAACTAATCTATTTTTGAATTTTGATCAAATTCAGTCAAGATTAATCGACTATAAGTCATGGATATTTTAATTGATCTGATTTGATGTGATTCTAGTTTTTTTTATCATTTTATATCCTAAAATATTTAACGTTCCCAAGATTTTGACTTGTCTCTAAGTTGACTTTGCATACACGCACATCAGTCATATACATTTTATTTTATTTGCTTGTATATAATTGTATAGTGCACCATATATCCTTTTCTTTGTCAATAATGTTTTAAAATTGGTTGGGACTACCAAAGATTAGGCCTATTATTAAAATTACGTAGGAGAAGTACAGACAAATTGGTATACATAGACAAAATGACACGGTGGCCTTATTTAAATCATTAGCCTTATTGGTTAGTTTCAGTAACATTTCCGCGAATGTATCAAATGAAGACAGGCATAATCACAATCAAATCTGACAATTTTGAGTGTCATTGTCCAAGTCTCGACAAAAGTTCAAACGTGTATTGCACATCAAAAGTTTATTTTGACGGTGGTTTTCTCATGTTTTCTGTGGACTTGTTTCTTGTTATTTGTAAGGATTGGTAAAGTCGAGCAACTTATGCAACTATTATGGTACTAGGGATTTTGATCAATCTTATTGCAATTATCAGGTGGAATTTCGATAATTATCCATTCACTTTTGAACAATGGGACATGCTTATACAATCGACAAAATGATATAGTACTATTTCGCAAGTATTACAAGTAAGATCATATGAGGCCAAGAAAAAAGAAAATTAAAACCTGTCAAAGTTAATTGGATTTAAACTTCTACTCTACTTCTAAAAACAGACCGAAGAATTAATCCATCGATAAAAAGAAGAGAATTGCATTTGTTGCAAAACCCTCTATTTACCTTAAGAGCCTGGTGGAAGTTGGTTTTGATGCATGATTTGTTGCCCCTTTGGGTGGTCACCATAGATAAACAAGTATAAAGTTTGTGGACACATGTGTTATGTGCTCAAAGAGGACTAAACTATTTGTATACGAACTGTCTTCTTAAAGATCGGTGTGTCATATGGCCTTACCTTATATGTCATCTTATCCGAACTATTTTTTTTTTTTATTTTTTTTATTCTGCAGTCTATACCGTATGTATCAACTAGGGCTAATAAAATATGATACCAAAAATAATAAAAATAAAAGAAAAAAATTAGCAAAATTAAAGTATTAAAGTTAATTATACTATATTAGGGCTACAGGTATTTTTCTTCTAAGGCTTGTCTTCCAGATAGACTAGACTGACTAAATCATTAGGATGGACGTCTATTCCGTTTTTATATTTGGTGGCAACCATTGTTATTTGTTTTAGAATTGTAGGTATGCCTGTATCTTTGTGGAGGATCCATGTTGGCGTGTAGCGAGGAGCATTTAATATCCACCTCTGGATTTTGTTTTGAGCACGTTGAATGTTGTTTTAATTGCTCTTTTTGGCTGTACCCCAAAGTTGAATACTATAGGTCCACACGGGTTTGGTGACTGCCTTATATATTAGTAATTTGTTGTAAATTGATAATTCAGAATTTGTGTTTAGGAGTCAATAATATTTTTTGAAAGTTTGATCTGTCTTTGGTTCTTTATGTGTATTTTCTAATTTAGTTTTCTGTTCAAGTTTTTTATAATTATTTGCTTTTTTTTCCTTATTATGTTATTACACTTTATTAAAGGACTATGTTACTGGTATAGTCAGTTAACCTAAGATCAGTAAAAACTATTGATAATGATTATAATAGCATTACTGAATACAATTATCGAATCAGGTATAAGTAAATTAAATTCTGCTTCCATTTTTAGTTTCGACCAGCCGAATGGTGCGCCACTCCTCCGCCGACCCATGCCAGTCCGTTGTCTTCACGTGAAATGGAGTCGGCAAGACCACAAACAGCTGGTGAAGAAGAATTACAATTGCAACTAGCCTTGGCAATGAGCCGCGAAGAAGCAGAGCAGGAAGAGCAGAGGCGCAGGAGCGACGACGTTAGATTACAATTAGCGCTTAGCCAGAGCCAACAAGATTTTCGGTGAGGCTTAGATATTTTGATTTCGTTGAGTTACATGCACTTTGATAAAGCAAATTATATTGCTGAACAGCTTCCCAAAGAAAAATTTTATGTTTTCGCTAGAAATTTCAACGTTAGACGTTTAAAATAATCGGAGTTGTATGCACCTAAATTGTAAAAAGTATATGGTGTACATTGGGTCAAGATTTGACTTTTCGACAAAATTTCCTTAAAAACATGTACCGATTTAAAAAAAAATTCAATGCCATTAGATAAAACTTGGTATTAAATAGCGTTGATTAGTTTATTTATAACATATTATAGTTTAACATACGTTGTATAGATTGATATAGTAAATACAAAGAAAAAAATCTAAAAAAAAATATTAAAATTAAATGTTTTATATCATACTAGTTAAATTGTCATACTAGCGAAATACCCTTTATGCGTTATAATATTTCAATCAAGTGTTTTGATTAAATTACGGCGGTATCTGGATGTCCCTATGATACTTCGCAAATTTGTTCTCATAAATTTTTTATCCTTAAGAACACCTTCCCTTTACATATAAAGCATCTCGAGGTTGGTTCACAATGAAACAGTTTCGAAGCGTCTAAAAATATTTTGTGATCTCACATATATAAAATTTTGATAAATTTTCTACAAAGTTATAGTAACTGTTTTATGATTCTAATTTTCTGAGCTTTAAGCCTCCTTTTCTCATGGATATTAAACATCCATAGCTCGAGGTATTTTCAATGTAGTAAATGTACATTTCATTTTGATAGATTGTTTATTTATATGAAAATTCAATTGCGCATTAAAAAATTATAAATTTTGCCTAATAATCGGTTTGTTGTTCTTGAATCCGCAATAATGATCAAAATTTTATATTGGATACTTTTATTTCACAATACTACAATTTTTATGTAGATTCAAGATTGCTCGTCTATTGAATATTTTCCTATCTACATTGTGGGTGCTACATCCCTTGGAAATTGTTCTAATGAGTTTGATTAAAATGCTTGATGAATTATTAATAATGTTAATGGTGTAATTGAACATCCTAAAATGTTATGGGCATAGAAAAAGTTGTTTAATTATGTATATTCAATCGATGTTTATAATATTGGTCAAATAATATTATCAAATGTTCATAATATTACCAAAGCTGACGTACGTACTTATAAGTATATTATTTATAAATAAAATGTTTTATAGAACATGAAAGATATCAAATCGAATTAAAATCAATAAATATATTGGGTAATTTTTTATATCTTTCTTGTGCGTGGTTAGTTACCCAGACTTTCCATAAACGGCCACTTAGCTTTTCCATTTTTGTGTATGACGTTCTTTGAAAATAAGAAATTAGTAAAAACATTCATTTTGCAGCATTAAATAGCTGTATTTATTTTTATAGTGTATACAGTTTAATTTGTATTTTATTATTATAGACCGCAAACGCAAACGTCATCAACTTCTAGCAATATGGTTGATCTTTTGGACGTATCTTTAAGCGATTTGGGCGCATCAGCACCACCTGCATCAGACCCATGGGGACTACCACCTCCGACAAGTGCTAAAATACAAGTATGTAACTTAATTGTAATTGCATTGATTATAACACAACCGTAAATGATTTTTAATAATTATTGATGAGCTACAAGTTATTTTTACCTATTATGATCGAACTAACATTAATAGCTAACAAACAAAGTTCGTTGATGTTTAGTTCATTTAATATATTCTTCATAAAACTTTTGAATGTTATCTTCTGCATATTTTATTGCTATATTAAACGATAAAGAATTTTAATTTCACCAATTTAAAATAAATTCAAAGATAGCAGTGTCATTCTTTTATTTATGCACTCAACGAGCATTGCTTTCATAACTAATAAATAAATAAGTGATAAGGTATTATTATATGTAATGCCAAAAGTGCTAATCTAAAATAAATAACTAATAAACAATAAATCACTCTAGAAGATTGCTAATATTTAGGCTGTATGACTAATTTTCACATATAAATATTTACATTATTTACTAGTACTTTATTTTTGGGTTCTTTCTTTTCTATCTTTCTCTTATTTCTGTATAAACACAAAGTTAATTTTATCTTTATACATATTTCTAACACAGTTAATTTACTTTTCATAATATTAAATACAAGGTACATAATTTGTAAAGCTTCTTCAGAGATAAATTTTGCAAAAAAAAATAACTTAAATATTCTGTACCTTTTGAGATTAAATTACGTGTATGTGTAGTGGAACTTACCATATTATTTTGCTCTTTTTGCATGTTATCTATACTAACCTGCATGTCTATCTGCACAGAATAATGTAGAATTTGATCTTTATGGGAGATTAATTCAGGTATGAGATTTTTTTTTTCTATAATTGATTGGAGCAATGTTTCATTTAACTGTATATAGATAAATATTGTATTGCAATAATTTTCAGTCGGATCCATGGAACACAACAACAAGTCCAGTAGCAGACCCATGGTCCAAATCAAACAATTCTCAACACAGATCACAAACTGCTGCAGTGGATCCGTGGGCACCTGCTAGTCATAGTAACACTACAAGTCCCTTAGGAGTCAGTATCATTTTAAATATATATTATAATTTTATCTATATGAGCTACAGATTCTCTCAAACTTTGTTGGCTACTTTTAAGTGAAAAGAATTTTTATTTTATATAGTTTCTTTGAGATCTTATCATGTATCAATAATTCTTCTTGTTTGCTTGTATTACATTTTACACTTTATTGGCACTATCCACTCATTTTCAAGTTTCTATGTCCTTATATGTCCTTTATTAACTTTTTTTAAATTCATTTAAATTTAGAGAACTAAAGTAGTATGTAATTAATAAGATTTTATATTGCAGTTCCGAGATCCAGCCAATATGAGTCCACTCTTACAGTCTACTGAGCGGCCTTCCCCGCTTGGTGCACCAAACAATTTGTCCAGCCCTAGCAGTGATTTAAGTGAATTTGACATCATAACAAATAGAAACAAAAATGAAAGTTTAGCAGATTCAAATTTAAACAATGGAAAGAGTCCAAATAATAATACTAATGGAAATGATCCTTTTGATTTAGGACATCTTGATGATTTATTGGGTAAATCAAAATTGGTTTATTTATTTATGTATTTATTTATTTATTCACAAGCCGTCAGTATAATGATATTATAGTAATGCTCATGCCAATTTTATTATTTTTTCTTGTGAATTAACCAAGACAGTAATTTCATGATTACATTGTTTGTTGTGATATTATTATATGATTTATTAAATGCTTTTTGGCATTATTTGCTTATATGACATATGATAATTTAATACAATGTTAAAATACTCTTTTTTGGCTTAAAAAATTGATTTTATTATTATTTTAGTAAAAAGTTTTCCAAAGATGTTTATTTATAGATATTTTGTTTATATTTATTAATCCAAAACTTGTATGCATATATTTTAGGGGGACCTATTTCAAATGACGACCAAAATGCTGGAAAATCTACAGGCTGCATAAAGAAAACTCCACAAAGTTTCTTAGGGGAAAATAGTGCACTTGTCAACTTGGACAACCTAATCAAACCTACACCACCAATGCCCACAGCTAATCCTGCTCCTTTTGGAACTGCAAATCCTTTCCAAGATTTGAATGCTGCACAGCCACCTGTTAAAAATAATCTATTCCAGCAACAAATGCAACCAGTAAGTAGTCATACTCATACATACGCCAGAAGTACTCAGTTATAAGTAAAAGCTAGTATGTACTTCCTTCTGAATGTGTATAAAAAAGTATATTGTCCATGAATTTTAATAATTATATCATGGGTTGTCGATCCCAGATTATTTCACTGTTTTACCAATTAATTTGTTTTACAGGTTAAACCCAGTATGAATCAGATAAAACAACCTCCTTTTGCATTAAATGAAGCTGTTAATAATTCAGCTCAACCAAGAGATCCATGGGCACCTATACCTTCCTCTCAAGGTACAGATTTGAATTCACCTTGGGCCCCATTATCTAATGTCAGTCGAGATACAAATAATCTAAATTCACCTTGGACTATACAACCCGCAAGAGATCCGAATTCAGCATGGATGAAGCAGGATCAACAATCTGTCAATCCTTTCTTGTCTTAATCTTCAGTAAATAAAAGTTGAGTATATATTTATATTAATGAATGTAACGGGTTTTTATATTTATATTCAGTAGAATGCATTTAGCCCAATAGAAGATACCTCATTTCTGGCATGGAGTTTAATACTGCTTTTAGACTTCTATAAACATTTGTTTTTTATAATTTCTTCTTGACAATAGTTACGAATGTTGCAGCAATGCTCCTGAAATATCACCTGATACATAAATAGCAATTGTTTAGTAATTATTTAGCAAAATTTATTATTTTATCTTTTCACCTTTAATGTTATAGCATGCGGTATATTTTTTTATGTATAATCTAATTTAATTTAATAAATTGATTGTACAGTAACTAACTGCTCGATGCAGGACTTAGAAAATAATATCAAAAAAGGTTTCATTATGCGAATAAAACATATATCATCAAGAACAATGAATTGGATTCAATGTAACGTTATAATATTATATTTCTATTTTATGTTATTTACAATAAATTCTATTAGTGCTACTGATGTCATTTTATAGTTTTATAAATTATTGTAATAAATAAACAAATATTCATCGTGAATGTACTGGAAGTTTAGCAGTATCTAGCTTTTTCCAGATTTTTTTGCTGTTTTT